ACACTGCAAAATTATTTTCTACAACCAGTTAGATAAGATTTAGTAATAGTATTGTTTAAAAAAATTTGGATGTTTTAAATAAAAAGCTTTTGAATGAAGAAAAATATAATTTTGGTCTAAAAAAAGTTACAAATAATTGAATGTTATTTAGCAAAAACTGTAGTTACTAAGTGATGATATACATAACAAATCATGACTCGCTATAAAACAAAACCAATATGGGTCAAACAATTTAAATTTAACATTATTAAAATAGCTTAATCATTATAATAACTTAAAGTGAGAAGAAATATTTACTTAAATTCCCGAATGGCTTAAAGAAAATACATTGAGATGGATGGCATATTGATAATGATTATCTTTTCTGTGATGTTAACCATTTCATCAGGTTTTCGATTTATTCATTTGCTTTATAAATTACAAAGTCTTATTTTTTCAAGAATAAATCCATCTGTTCAGCATAGAACTGGTCATAAAACATTTAAACTACAAACCTATGATCTTATTCTATTGAGTATTAAAAAAAAGGTAAGTAATTCCGAGTGTGATGCGAGCCCAACTCAACTTTTCACGAATCATTCACATTTAAATATACAGTCTATAAGTCAGTAATCCAATTGAAGAAAATAAAGTCGTAAAATTGAGGGCCAATCTTATTGATTAACCGCTTAGTTTCATGTTTTACGTCATTCATGAGTTCCATTGAAATAAGAATCCGTAGATTTAGTCAGAGAAGTAAATGTCTAGACCTTGAAAAACACTAGCGTAAATAAAGTAATATTCATAATGTTAAACACTTTACAACTATTTGCTCAATAATCAATGGAATAATTAAATACTTGAAATTCTATTCCGAAATATTGTAGACGATATATTCTACAATTGTTACTGAATACAGTTCATAGTTTGTTTAAAACAAAATTTCCTCCGTATCCATCAGTAGTTTATATGATTTCCAATGAATTGTATATCGAATGTTAAATCAACAAATAATATTAAAATTCAAAATATTAAATTTACCGCTACAAGTGAAATAAGATATTTATCATTTCTATCAAATTTATATGTATATATATTCTCCAAATTTACAATCGAACACAAAAGATGATAAGTGAGAAAAAGGTCATATAATATAAGATAAATATCATTGTACTCAGAATGATTACTTCATTTTGAGGGCAAACTGTTACCTTACATCACTTTATTCATGTGACCAGTAGATAATAAGGTCATTAAAAGTGTAGAATATGAAATTGTATTCTAAGAGAAATATATGAATAAAGAGAGATAGGAAGAGGGTTTGATTGGATGTATTGATTATTTCTATCAGATAGATTCTTTTTTGTATAGTTTTGATAATTGTTTCAAAATTGATGATAAAGTATTTAATAAAGTCTGTACAGGTATACAAATAAACGTATTAAAAATAGCTCTTTGGTGAACCAATTATTTTAAGACTCGATATCATTATTGAGATTAATTGATTATCTATGACTAAATAATTGTTTTATAAACAGATTTTATTGTTTTCAAACAAACCAGACTATCAATTTATTTGTGCGTGCGGAAATACGTACATAGGAAGGAGCAGTCATGATCTGCAAGAAAGGGTGGTGGAACACATACCAAAATAGCTGCAGAAATAAATGAGTTCCAATGGTCAAATAAGATCACAGGATAGATATCTTCCTCCGTTAAGAAACATTTAGTTGAGATTGGTCATAAGGTTGATATCAAGTCAGCATTTGTAGTGTTGTACAAAAGCCTTCAAGGATGTATACTAAGGTTTATTGAAACCTTGGCTATGCGAAAACTGAAACACACTTTACGTGTTCGAAAACAATTAGTTCTTACCCTTAATCTAGCCTGGTAATACTGATTTATTATCCAGAGTGGTTATCACATTGTTTTTGTATACTTTATTTTTCTTTGTTACGGTTTACCTTTAACCTGTCTAGTTGACCTTCTTGTTTTCATATGACATTGTCTTAACAAGTATGTGTGTGATCAGATTGTTCGAAATGTATTGCGCAAATATATCACATAATTGTGATAATCTTCGTCTTCTCATTGCATTATCGAAACCAGACTATCTTATATATTATAAGTGACACTATGAATAATACTAAAGTTATCACAATTTTAATTTTAGCTAATTGTAACCGTTAATCTGATTTGCTTGTTTATGAGACTTTTGCTAAATACTCAACTTCATGAAATCATAACCATGGTTCTCTCTATTAATTTGGAAAAAGATTAGAAATGAGAGTTTGTGCTGAATAACATAAATTCATTTATTTCATTGATCGACTACAAATTCCAAATTAATCATCATGTTACGTAAAAATTCATTGACATAATGTAAAATTCTGTGAGTTGTGTCACTTAGAATAATCAACACTTAGTAAAACAGTCAAGACATCTTAAAAACGAGTATCCAAGAGAGTCCTATAATATGTTTGAGAAACGGGTCACTAGTATGACCCTGTTCGACATTTGTGCTAATATTATCACTACGCTTACTAATCCAGTTCCAATGACTAGGATAGTTTAGAATGTAAACAAACGACAATCTACTGAAAGCTACTGACAAACTACTGATGGTTCAAACACTGAAGATATCGTTCCTTTGAAATAATCTAAATGTTTTTTTTCTACAACAATAGCCACTCGTACAATAGTACGTAACCAAGTTTAATGAATAAAACTCCTCATAAAAAAACAATGGCCAAAATATGAAAACAACTTTCTGACATGAAAATAACGAACAGTGAATTAAGGATAGTAACCGAATGCCTTAATCTTACCTATTTTACCTGAATTATAAACATGTCTAATGAATCGTTCGATTTGTGCATATAACTTAATTTTTCGGAGTAGTAACTTTATTTCTACAATACAGTATCAACAGTATCAGTAAAATTGTCACATACTAAGAAACTTTTCAAAGAAATAACAATCTGTTATGAGAAGTTTGTCACTAATTCATCTGGTAGGCCAACCATCTTTAGTATGTTGGATTACTAAAATGACAAGAATTGTGACAGGAATAACAACATCCTAATTCTACTTCTAATTTTTAGTTTGCTTAAACTAATTATGTGAATATCACACTTTGCTACAACATCGCTTTTATGGGTGTTAAAATCTCAGTGCTTGACCACACGTTTTACACCATATTAACGTGAACAATAATAATCTTAAAAAATCAAGCATCTACAGCCATTTGTCGACCCTGAAATTTCATTCGCTTCCATTATGAGTATCTGCATTTAATTTCGGATGCATTGTATAACTAACTACTTATTTTAACGCCAAACCAAAAGTAGAATATGAAAGATATTTGAGACACATGTTTCAGTCATTAACATGAGACGACAAACCAACAGACGATATGAGTTCATGTAAATGGAATTAGCAGATCTAATGATCAACTGTTTTTCTTCTCTTCAGCTTAAAAACAGAGTAAACTAAAAACGTAAGGAAAAGTAATAGATAGACTAATCAAATGACCGATAAATAGACATACTTACAGAAGTATGAGTAAAAACAAAAAATAAGCATAAGGGTTTTAAAACGACTCGCTAATCACATGTTTTATGAATTATCGCCAGTTGTCCAAAAGTAGGAATAAGTTTACGTGGATATAGTACAGACAATACACGTTTGTTCGAAAGCCTGAAGTCTTAACAGGTGAAGAGACCTCTGGAGTATTTACTTTGAAGACATTACTGGGTTTAGCGAAAGAAGTTTTAATTCGGGATTTTGTATTTCCTTTATTACCTCTAGAATTACTATACAATTTATCTTATCTGTTTCTGAAATCCACCACCTTGATTCTAACACCTGATAACCTCTGGACTGTTCTTGCATATATATATATATATATATATATATATATATATATATATCATTGATGACCTCTGTCATTCCAATCCTTAATATTCACTTATGTCAATTGTTCCATACAATTTCTTACCTCAATGTAAAGTTCTAATACATATTTGGTTATAAGAAGCTGACGAGAAATCACGAAATATAATGAATTCATATTATTCTGCATCAATATTTGTTCTGGCTTTATTTAAATTCATGGTGTTATCTCATGGTTTCCGACTAAGCATGATATACTTGCATCAGTTTATAAACTCCCGAAGTAAATGGTTCAGTTAATATTCGACATTGGCGCTAGCTGGAGGCGCTCGGTCACGCATCCGCACCAGATTACGAGTGAGTACGCCGTGACATCACTCACAACTGGTGGCCAGATTAGACCAAACGCTTTTCGATAAATTGGTAGCTTTCCGAAAATATCTTCGAACCTATTCACTCCTCACTTATGATTTCACTGATTCCGTATTTTTCAATTATACAGATGTCACGTGTAAAGGTGTTATCAAACTTCGACTCCCCGTGGCGATGGAAATTGACACAATTATGTCCAACCGAAATTGACATATGAGCCTCAACTGGGTGTGACTACACAATGGCCTAGGCTTAGGTTTATCGTCTAGTGTCAGCTCTCCTTAATCATCCTTGGCTCATGTGTGATTCGGTGGACTGTTCAACATGCAGTCATAAGCCTACTAATTCATGGCTGTGTTTAGCGTGACAAGTAATATGTGTAGGGTTCAGAAATATTTCTCTAGCCGTTGAAACATGCTTAGTATAAATATCGCTACGTCACGTTCGAGGATACAACACTAATTCTAATAGTCTTAAAATGTTTAAGTCCATTATTTCTATCTATTACCTCATTTTTACAGCTTTATTTCGCAAGTGAAATTAACTTGAAAAAAATCAACGAACACACAAAAATGTTTATTTACATTCAAAAAATCCTAGTTTGAAATAACTCGTCATAAATATAAATAATACCGAAAATACATTGGAACCTTAATTTATGATCAGCGCTTGATTTACTTTAAGCGCAACTGTATAATTTCAATGGGTTACGATTCGATTTGGTATAGGAGTTATCTCCAGTAAAACCAAATGTAATGAAAGCGTTGATTTATTCCTTGCTTGCGTACATTTTGTTGGACGCAAATGTCCTGGCAGTTTTGCTAGTTGTATGTCACAGTGTTTTGTACTTAGTAGTTTTAGAAAGACCTCTCATCAGGAATTGTTGACGAGTTTGAGGATTCGGAAGCACTTTTTGGTGGAGCAGTTTCTCAGGAGTCCTTAATACTGGTTGGCTTGGTTTAGTTCTTTCCACATTTGCAGGGACGAATTTATGCATCCAAACCACTAGAAGGCTGTGTGGACCAAATTCCCAAACCTAAAGATGATCACAATTCAACTCTTCCTTACATCTCACTCATCAAACGTGGAGACTGCTCTTTTGTAGATAAGGCTTTAGCGGCCGAAAGAGGTGGATATATTGCAACTGTTATTTTCAATGATGTGGACGACAGTACTTTCCCAATGGGCTACAATTCGTGTAAGGTTTCTGACCTCTCATCTTTTCGTTGGTAGCCACAAATGTCAGTATTCCTGTCGTAATGGTTGGTTTGTCTGACGGCGAGCTCCTACTAAATAAGTACTGCGTGCCACAGTAAGTTGTATGTCAGTTTATTAATTATGGATTCGAAGCTTCATATTTCGTGAATCTATTTTATAGGTGCTTTATTTGCAGGCGAGTAAAGCTGATACATTCCGACTTGCTTTTCCGTTTAAAGATGTTTACTTTGCCTTTCCATTTAGTACTCGTTCATATATCTGTTTGGTGACTATTTCTGACATGTGAAATTTTGGTTTGGAGGACTTTTTTCGTTTAATTAAAGCAGATTACTTACTACTTACTTCACTAACGCTTATTAGATTTATAGGTTAGACTAGAAGTCTCCTGAAAATTATCAAACTTTCTGTGTTAGTACTCTTACGGGAGGTATTATACTCCTCAAATTTGTTTTTAACTCGAAAAGTAGTGCAAAAGTATTTAGGTTTTGAGTAGCTTTGAACTTTCCTACAAATTTGTATTTAATACAGTTATTTAGTAGGTAAATCGCCTAGGAGTGAAAAATCGTTTATAATTACTTGTTGTACTAGCATGTAACAGTTAGGATTTCACATGCAGTTCGATTACATGAATCTGTGGTACACCAACATTCCTACTTGGTTACCTGCAACTACTAAACGGTTTCATACTAACAAGTGGCCAGGTCAGTGAGGACACATTCCAGATAAGTGTAAGGAAAATCATGTGATAGGTATTGACAACAATGAGTCAAATCTATTGTCGACAAAGCAATGTGCTAGTCTATTGCAAAGAAATTCTATTGGATTACTTTTATCGAAAGTTCGTGACGATGATGCTGAAAAAGAATCGTTACCGCTACCTTGACAGTGTAATAGAGTTTTCCTATCGTGATGAATCAATCGGGCTATACTGGATGGAGCAATCGTTCCTCAGGGCCCTACCATGCCAGACAGGTCAGCTAAAAAGCGGCAAGACCAAAAGTGACAAAACTAAGGGGGAATTCGTACTGCTGGCTGTACAGAGGTATGACGGCCATGAGGTGTCTCTCTCGGACAACCATCATAATAGAGATGCTGCCTTCCCACAAAGGAAGGGTGAAGTTGAAAAAGGTCGGTGCAAAAAACGCACACCTCGCATTATCCTACGGATTTCCGTCTCCAGCGGTAAGGTCTCAACGAGTACGGAACTGACACGAAAATAGTCCACAAAATGGTTGTGTGCAGCCGGTCTCTAGCAGTTGTCCCTTGGGCACTGCGGTCACGCTCTCAGGTCACTAAGAATAACTCGAACCCAATTTCACTTTCGGGTACCTGTAGAAGAACCTTTTCACGGTATGGGCAATCAGGAATTTATAACCGCCCTCATACCTCTCACAGGCCAGCAGGCCTCCTCCGCTAAGACCCTAGAATCTCATTCGATTGACGTACACTCTCCAAACCACGCATACAGGATCCTAGTGTGGTCATTCACTTGACCTAATCTCGCCAAAACGGAGGACCGACGAGGTACATCCTTCGTATATCTGGCGATCCGATGGCTAGTTCTCATGAACTGACAGGTGTAGGCATAGCACTAAGGACGGGGGTAGAACAACACTATCGAAATGGATTTACGTTAACAATCGTCCATGTGCTGTTCGGATAAACGGCTCCGTAAGAAGTCAGAAGGATAGGGACAGACGTCGTTGCGTTTTGATGATTTCTGCCTACTCTCCCCCTGACTGAAGCCAGGATGAAGTAAAAGGTGGGTTTTACAAAAAGCTTTCTGAACTTCTTCAAAAAGCTAAACACTCAGACATAGTATTCGTAGCAGGTGACTAATGCCCAAGTTGATAGCTTGAACCAAACAGAAATACATTTAGATGGACGTTTTTAGTGTTCCGGCTCACCATACAAATAATGGTGACCGTCTGCTGTCCACCATCTCCATTTTCGTTCGACTTCATCATAGACATACTGGTGAAAACAACGTTCTTATTGTCTGAGTTTGATATTTCCCATCTTACGTCACCTGTAGTGAAAACGAGATATCCGTTTATCAATTAAAGGACGAGTATATTGCACAGCAGTTCGTTCTATTTTACTTTATGGCTTCGAAACGTGGCCATTAAGGGTAGAGGATACTCATAAGTTACTGGTATTTGATCACAGAAGTCTTATAAATATTCCTCAAATCTGCTGGGATCACTGGTCAATAGTGAGGTTAGATGCAATGTATTAGATATTGATGGTAATCAGTTGATGAGTTTGTAAATCTTTATCGACTGAGATGGTTTGGCCAGATCTAACACATGCGCAACCACCGATTACCACGGTGCGCAATGCTGACTAGTTACTACTGGTCTAAGTCATGTTGATAGATGCAGACTACTTGGTTGGGGTCCGCGTGACTATCGCAACTAGTGATTTGAGACTGTGGGTGACATGGATCAAAATCGATCGCAATGGTGTAGGTGCATACACTCTTTGTTTTCCTTCAAACTGTGAGATAAAAATTGCTTTATACCTTTCTACGAATTAATTCTTTTTCCCTGTATTATACCCTTATATGCAATCTTTTTTACTATCATTGAAGTAACTACTTTAGTGAATTTGGTGTTCATCTTGTTGTGCTGATGTGTGGCAACTTGGACCAGTGCATATATATATCCTGTCTTATGTTGACTGACAATGATAGACCATCCAGTTCAAAAAATACAACTTAATCAAAAAGCATTTCCTGAAATACACCACGTCAAGCTATAAGTCGATCGAATGCTTTTTTACAAGACCACATGCATTGTTCATACTGTATCGTGAAAGATACAACTGTTATCCTAATCAGTACTGTAGTCACTGTAGCCGTATTTGGCTAGATCTTTTTGAGTCTCTTTACAGCAAAACATTTCTTATGGCAGTTGATCCATATAACGGGAGCTCGACAATTTTCTTGATGAAACACTCAACCATAGTTTCTTCTGAAAGAAGCTGTCAAATCTATCCAGTTACTTCGGATATCAGGAAGCAACTGAACCAAGCAAGATAGAGTAGTCTGTGAAGCATTAATTAGCCTATCACAGTGTTTGTAGCAGTTAGCAAGATTTATTACTGAATACCACTAGATATTTTATTAGATACTAGCATCAAGCGAAAAATAAACCTAAATTTCTACTGATAAGGAACATCGGTTTGATGGTATGACACTTGACACTCAGCCACTAAGTCCCAATATAACTATATGTTACTTTTCCTAAATGCTTCAAGATTCTAATGGATAATGACTTATTTTGTTTACACTTTACTCTCTCACTATTCTATCTGTGGATTAAATCAATAAGTATACAGTTCGTATTTTTTATGTATTTGCAGTTATTTTGTTGAAATACTACCTGCTCATCGCCGAAGTATCGTGTTGTATCTTATTCCACTCATAACATGTCTGCTGATATCTGTAGTCGCATTGAGTGTGGCATATGGGATTCGGCTTTTGAATCGATACCGGAGAAGATATCGTTATTGCTTACCAGTAAAAGAGTTACGTAAAATACCTGAAACTTTATTTGTTAAAGGTAAGTTATTCTGTTGATGTTTGTATGTACGAAAGGCAACCCACCTACGTTATTTATTCACTTGGTGATACGGTTAGAAGTCGGCTACATCTTGGGTTTTTTCGTACAATAATAGAAACGAATATTTGCTGCATTAGGGTTAAACAGTGGGATAGACGTCTGAATTAAAACAAGATTGTCATTCCCCTAGTTTTGGGCATAACTAACAAGAAATTTGTTTTTATATTCAATCTTTTCAGAGTCTGCAATTTCATTAAGCGAAACTTATTTTTCGAGTCTTTTTTTCAAGCAAATTATTCAGTTACAAAATATGGAGGTTACTAATTGTCTGGATTGATAAATAAATATTTAATCAACTTCTTAATGCATAAGTAATAAGTACAACCTTTATTTAAGTAATGTTAACCTCCAAAACTTTGGAAGGTTTATGAAATCACTAATTATAAAATGGAGTACAACGTCATTAATGTTTTCATAAAATCTCTTCAACTGTATGTTTTTATTAATAGGCCAGTTGATAGTTCTTATCGTGTTACAGGAGATATGTTTTTCGAGAAATATTAATTCATCATGCTTTTAGTATTCCACCTTTCAGAACCATTATCCAGTCACTTAGGTTTTTTACACCTACCAACTTATTTTGTAATTAGTTCAGATCTATATAACCTTCTATGTTAATTCCCCGTAAAACGTTTTATATACGTTTTTACATATTTATCAATTTTCCTTTTTAAAAGCATAAAAGTTTGTAACTAGAAGTCGCCTAATTAAATATCGACATTTTAGGCTAGTTTTCTACATGTAGATTTTGTGAATAAACCTACCAAATGCAGTGTTTTTCGTTATGGAATTAATCAATTTAAAATATTCAACCTTGCTTCTGTTATAATATTTGATTAGTGAAAAATGTATAAAATCGTTAAGCTTTTGTTGTGCAATAGGCAACGTAGCTTACTTGATAGTAGTTTAGCATAGCAAACATTGGATGGTGATTTTGAGGCGCTGTTGATAAGGGAACTTTTATTCATATTCATAGATACACGAATTTGGGAAGCAAAGAATGAAACCATCCTACTGTTAACTTCGGTGTACTGTAATCATTTTACTGATTAGCATAACTACTGATATTCATTCACATCGGTTCATTTAAATTATCCAAGACCGAACAAATACGACTATTGTGAAACTAGAATTTTTTCGTTATAGAGCATACATTCACTTTTTTTACATTCTTTATGTAGGATTTTATTTTACTATTCACCGTCAGTTATAAAAGTAATTATTTTGTTGCTTACACATTTGAGTTTTTACCCTTCTTACTGCCTCAGTTCTTTCCCGTTTATTATGATGAATTTTTCTAGACTCCAATGAATTTGAAACTTGTGCAATTTGTTTAGAAGATTATAAAGATGGTGATAAATTGAGAGTATTACCATGTGGGCATGGTAAGTGAATAATCATTTACATGAAAAATTGCATCTTTTCATAGCTTCTTTTCTTAATACATAAAATGTATCATGTTATTTTTCTTCTTTACAACTATGATGTATAAAAAAATGTTGGTCACAAAAATAAAGCGATGACATCTCGAGAAAATTAAAGAAAAGAAGGGGAATACGATGGCTAAAGGAGAAATACAATTAACTAAAGTTGCAACTAAAAGTTCTTTCAATTAAAGGCATTCCTCTCACCTTCAAGAGGAATATAAGAAATACAACAGAATCGTCAGTGGCTTCTACCCTAACCCGTGTCTGATCACGTCTCAAGTCATTAAATTCTATCATCTCTATGGTAGCTTGAAAAATGCCAGTCATATGCAGCTTTCATACCACGGCAGCAGTTTAGAAACTGTCTACCCCACTTTTCCAACCCTGACTCAGCTCCGGCATATAATGCACACTTTGGAAACCTGTGTAGTGATATTCGTAAAACATGTTCAAGCTAGCAAACTCAGTGTTTCAATATAGTGACATTAATTTAGTTATGGTCATTGCACTTGAACATACATTGCCAAGGATCAGTATTACTAACCTGTTATCACTGGGTGGAAACAAGCTTATGGAGACAACGATCATTTGATACAGAGTCGTGGAGTGTGACGGAAGCCAGTAGTTTGGATCTAACTGAGAGTGGACTTATCCTCCGATAGTAATTGCGCAGATTACTTTGGTCCTTTTCAGGATGGAGACGATATTATAACACTACCTCTTCCTCAACCCTTTCAAAGCAACTCAGTTTGTCCTCTAACCAGAATCTCACCTCTATCTGTACTTCTGTACCGATACTTATCGTAGCTTTTCTTTGTACTTTCAACAAAAGCAACGCGGTCACTTATTTCATTTATTATCTATTATTAATCTAACAGCACATAACCGACTGTTAATGTGGATCCAATCGATTAGTGCTGCCTCAGCTCTAGCGCTTAGTGTGACACCAACGCCAGCAAGACCAGACGAAGTTGCTACAGGGTCCCCGGATAAACGCACGCAAAACAAGCCCCTTGAAGCGACAGATAGAGAGCAATCTTGTAGTACTTCACCAGAGTCTTCAATATGGGTCTAGGACGGACAACAAACGTCGATATTAAGACTTTCTTAAGACACAGCCAGCCCTATCTCTTGTCCGATCTGCATTAATATGCGAATGTTGAAGGCAGCTAGTTTGAATGGTGCACATGGTTTCAGAAAAACTGCTTCAGTATTCGTATTCGGTGGTAACATTCAATTTCCGACCAGGCAGTGATTCGAGATCGTTTAGATAGAACAAAGTTTCTACCATGGGTGAGCTGCTGCATAAGTTGAAAAATAAGGATACACAAGGTGGGAATAAAAGAATGAATAAGTGACGTGGTAAAAGATAATAATAATAATAATAATAATAATAATAATAATAATAATAATAATAATAATAATAATAATAATGTGAATTGTTTGACTGTTAATCGAAGCGTGAATAGTGTTTTCAGTAGATATCGTCATTTCATTCTATTTGTGTGTGGGCTGTGATACTGCTCGGGTACTCAGACCAAAGCGGATGGTTTTCTTAGGAGGCCACACCCCGAACCCCGGGTCTGACCTACAAGGCAGTGGAGCGTCGTGAGGAGATGCAGTCCCATAGTATCCGGTGACCAACAATTGGTTCATATGCCATTATTTCCTTCAGGATATTGGAGCCCATGTGCGACATTGGTTTGAAATCAGGGTTTCCCGACTCCCCCAGCTGGACTCACCGCGTCCACCGGCCCGGTTCAAGCGCCGGACATTCGCTTTTCGTCCTCTCAATTTTGTAAACAACACCCCTGCCACGAGAAGGCAGTGAGTAAGACTTCCTTGGCAGATGTATACGCGTGGCTGTGTGATAGCATTTCGTGAGGGAGAGCTGACTCTCCCCACTCTCGGCTGTACTAGGGCATTTGGGGGCAGGCGGGCTATAATCACTGTAATATAAATTCGGTTGCTTTGTAAGACTTGATTCGTAGCGCGACAAATAATTCTCTACATTATTACTAAGTAGTTTTTAGAGCCATAACGGCATTTTGCTTACTCCTGTTTAAGTATACGTTGTTCACTGTAATCATGACTTGTGTACCTTTTAAAGTATGATCCGTGAAAATTTTTGTCTACAATATTTTTTGTACAGATGTCGAGAAGTTTTAGTTTTAATCTCAAGTTCTAGTTCCAAATATCTTCACGCTTTTGAAGCTTCTCGATGTAAAACTGTAGTTGTAGTTGGCAGTGTTTTGGCAAGTAGTAATGTTTGATTATCAGGAAACGTTGTGCCTAAAACTTCCACTCGTCAGTGTATTCTAATCAATGAGTATTTTCATCCTCACTTCAAGCATAAAATCTAAATAGTCAAAGCTCTAAAATAAAAGTGGTTATTACTGAGCTTTTCGCGTGACCATTGACTTATTATAGATCTAGACTAAACACGATTTCTCATCTTCCATCTGATATCTCAATTACTGATAGAAATGTTTCTACGAATAGTCCCTGTATTAAAAAGATCACTATCCACTGAAAATGGTGTTAGATGTTTCTGTATAGTCGTTAGGGAAGTTGTGAATATGAATTTTTTGTTCGTCAATTATAAATTTGGTCAACAGATTTCCATTCATTACCAAGTTACTAATATTTGTTTACTAGTTAACGCATTAATAGCATTTGAAATTTCTGTTCATTTACTTTAAAACCGTCCTATTCTTTTTAAAGCTTACCACAGTAAATGTGTAGATCCGTGGCTTTTAAAACGTCGTGGTTTTTGTCCTATATGTAAGAAGAAAGTTCACAATCGTCCTAGAGTCTACATTTCAACTTCTACAAGATATAGACGCGCTTCTGCATATGCCACTACATCTGAAGCTCCACTTTTGGATGATTCGTCTTTCGAAGAAGATTCTGATTCAGAAGATACTACTTCATCACCTCAGTTAAGTTTCTACAGTGAGAACGTCCATTCAGATGAACATACTCCGCTTATTAATGTTTCTGTTGAACAATCAAGTGCTTCATCACTTAGGCGAATGAAGATGACTACCTCAATTCGTGAAACCTTGGAAAGCTTTCTGACAAATGTATCAAGTTCTTATTCCAGAGGTCATAATTCATCCGACTATGAACAGGGAACTAATAATGTTAATACAGCCGTGGAATTACAACCTGAATGTTCTCAGATTGTCGCTGAATCCCTCGTAAAAGGTTAATTTTTTTTTGTTTTTTGAGGGAAAATTTTGGGTTGAACTTTGTTCAGTGATCTCAAAAGATAAATCTCAGGTTCGATGTCATATTTCGTAATTAGGAACAACTTAAGACATCAATAAGAAATCTGAGTAAACCCTTCCATCTAACATATTTATCATTTTGTTCATTTGACTTGTATTATTCATGGGATAATAACAGTAAAATACTCTCTTGAGTCAATACATGTATTTATTTATATTATAAAAATCTCAGCACAGAATATTCAGTATAGGGATAAGTTGTTGTTTTGTACCCACTTAACTTGGTAATGTTCAAGAATATGTTTCTATAAAAATTCTTAACAGTGATTAGCTGTCAATCATCACACGCAAAGTTCTTCGAATATTTATGGTTCTAAAATATTTTTATCGTATACTGTATTTAATGTGAAAGTTTCGAAGTAAACGTCTATTACTTCCTCAATTAGTAAACACGAAAGAAAATAGACCAAATGTTGTGATATTTCTTTTTGGATTTTTTAATTACTAAGTATCTTAAGAGGTTTCAAATTTTTTTTTATATGAAAGCACATGGTTTACGTACATAATTATTTAGTTAAAATGTATGTAAAACAAGATAATTTATTCTCACAGTTTAAAAAGATAGATGCCCCGTTGATTTGAGCTAGTTGTGACATCAGAATCAGTGAATGTAAATGTTATCTTTCGTTAAATTCATAAACATCTCATCTTTCATGAGTCAAGAATTGTTCAGGGATCATATATTAATAACGTGTTTGTACTACTGATAGGTGGTCGTTTAAAAAAAATCTAAGTGTTTTATCTTTAAATTGATCATGAATTATTATATTACCCACACATACAATTCCATATATCACAGTTGAATGTATTTTACTGAAAACAATGGTTGTATATGTTAAGATTTGTTCATTACACAAACATGTGAAACATTTTAACAATGTATTGATTTGAAATCAATGGTAAAAGTTCTTTTTTTTTCTTTTCTCGATCACTTGATGTTAATTATTTAGTTGAATAACTCATGTGAAAAACACCGTTCTTGTTGTTTATGCGAAAGTATTTCTTACTTAAACCATTTTCTTCATTCGTTCTACGAATCGTCCTAGAATGTAAAATAAATAAATTCCATTCAATTCTTGTATAAACCGATCTTTATACTACTAGGTAATACTGTAATTCTTAATTACTTTCATCCTTAATCTTATTTTTATGGATTGATGTAAAATCAAAATAAGAATTCTTGTTTCTTAACATTTACCGGTTCGAAGAGAATTGTAATAGAAATTACACTTAAAATATTTAAAATCTTTTTCATAAAACTACTTTTATTTTGAGTGTGTATCTACGTCGAGTTGGATTTCTCGATTTTTCTTTGGAAGGCCCCAACCTATGGAGTTAACAGTCCCGTCAAAAGGTAATTTTGTACCAAGATTGTATTTTGATCACTCGATGTCACATACTAAACGATTGAATAACATTTCTTCATAAACTTGGTTTCGATCGCATGGGAAGTAGTGTCTGCTTACTACAGATAAGTCATTGTCGATATGAAACATCTGTTCACGGTTTCTTACTGTTTATTGGCTTTCTAGATAATGTTAGTTTGTCCTTGTAATTCGACCACTATGAGTATTTTGGAATCAACATACTATTTTCCTCACTGCTACATATTTTCTATGGATTAATTAAACTTCATTTAGTTCTATAACTGAAGAAATGTTTTCATCACTTTTCTTTGATTGGACCTGCAGTCGATTTAGCACCAATTAAAAATCATATAGTACCTGACAGCTGTTTCCTTTAGATATATGAGATCATCCCCAATTATGTAGTAGTATGGTAATTGTGTGGTATAAATGAAATAATAATATTTTATTCAATATTGAATCTGAGAACTATTAAACTAGTTACAGTAATAGTTCTTACCGTTAGATTCTTTGCTTTCACTGGTTCACTAGCAAATATTGTAATGAATAAACACTCGGCTGAGGAAGACCAATCCACTATTTGGTACGAAATTACAAAGCATCGTCTTAAAATATGAGAACCATACATAAGATGCTTCTTTTGCAAATCTTATATCAGTTGTCCTTCACATTCTGTATGATTCTTCCAATCCACAATTCCTTCCTATTTCCCTTTTTGTTTTCCTAAACTCGGTCTTCTTAACCTTCTGCTGCCAGGTTTCTCACTTCCGATTGATGTTACATACTACTTATGTCGACAGATATAAGTAGCATACACCACACTCGTTCACCCTTTAAACAGTCGCTTTTGCGGTTGTTCTGCTCGCCGTGCCACCTTTGCTGTAATCTGTGCCACGCTCCCCGTTGAAATATCGAGTCCGCCGGTATGCAGACCTCCATAGCAATGTTGACATAAGCAACATACACTACAATATCACTTCATAATATAAACTGTATTTGATCCACTAATAAACTTAATAACCTACTTAGCGCTATGTTGTCTCATTAGTTACTGTCTTCATGGTATATGCAACAAATCTATTTTCATACAAACATTGTTCTTCACGAATAACATCCATATTCTTTTTTTAACAATGATAGTTCATTAGTTTGAATCATAAATTTTGCTGTAATCCTTAATTCAGCTTCGCTACCAAAAGTTATCACACAGTCATTTTGATGATTTCTAGCTTCATAATACATAAGGCTTTTCAAGGTTACTTTATATTATTTCCATGAAATATCCTCTTTATCCTTTCTATTTTGTTGTATTTTCTCATTAGGTAAACAGTGTAGTGAAAGTGACACTGAATCTGGACTAAATAATGAAATCAATGATAGTCGGTCACCTTCAGTAATGATTACTCATGTTGAAGTGCATACGGATTGTGATTTATCATGTATGCACAAATCTCATGCTTAAGCAGTATATATATATATCCTGTTTTCATTTGTTCGTCTAAACCATTTTATTTTTGCACAATTCACAATGATGAATAGTAATAAAATTGTGTTATCAAAACCAATAAGTTTCATATACTGGGCTATTTTTTCTCTCACTTATTTTTATTATCCTTTTTTTTCTACTGAAAATAATAAAAAAATTAAACCGTTATCAGTTGATTTCATTCTCTTATATACGTTTGCATAATTAATGAGTGATGTGTATATTTTTATCTCCTTTGTCGATGGACTACTTGGTTAGTTTAAATGGTTGATTAATCAATTGAACATTCAGACAATTGCGTAACTATTTTGTTTGTTTATTTGTTTGGCTGTTTCATCCTATGAGATTTAGATTGTTAGCATCATCATAATTCATTTTTTATAATTATATATACACATATTTGGCCGTGTATAAATACGATTTCACTGTACTGAAATGTATAACCTGGTTTAATTAACATTATTATACGTTAATTTTCTTACCGGTCAACTGATTACAAATTAGTCTATTACTCATAGAATTAGATAATATATTATTTTTTGATCTCTTTTTATCATTTACCTTATTTTTTACGAGCTTGTTTGGAATAAAATGAAGTATTTTTATCTATAGAGTTGCGTTTGTTATTCACTGACTGAAGACGATAGTTGTTTGGACTAGAAATTGCTTTATAATACTTTAGTAATATATTTTGAAATAATCAATTTAGAGATTTCGCTAGTTGTAATTTCGAGGTAACAGATAAAATAGTTCCAGTTTCGTAATATATCTGCCACTTGTAGCACTATGAAGAGCCAAATATAATTGTTATTAATAATCAACAGTCTCGTCAATTGATTTCTGTGCATTCAGGTTCAATTCTTATTTACATCATACAACAGAGTAGGTAATGGATAGGGATTCGTAATTATTTGCCAATCATCCATTTGACTGTACTCACACACTTTCTTAGACAGCTACATTTTTATAAAAGAATTGTCTGCATTAGAGTAGTCTAGTTTTCACAACTAAATATCTGATCAAAATAATTTTTAGTGGCGACATATATCAAATGTCACTTTGCGATTAAGAATTTCATCAAACTTCGTCCTCATATCTCGAAGGATTACCAGTTTTGAGATTACTTCAATGTTATATTTTCACTAATATGTTAGTGCTAACTAGTATCCTATAATTAGATTGCAGTACTAAGTTTAACTTCTTGCGAACCCAAATTCATCCGTATTGTAAATGCAACAACCGCAGTTGCTACCTTGAGGTGATGGTCGGGCTAGCTTATCGTGATGACTCAACCTAGTTATATTGGCTGTAACACATGCTCCTTCAGGTCCTACCATGCCAGGCAGATTGGTTTGAGAATGGTGAGACTAAAATAAGCAACTAAAGGTTCGAGAGCAACGTCGTACTGCTGACTGTTGAGGGGTTCGACAGTGGTAAGATGTTTCCCTCGAACAAGCAGCATCCGCAGCGGAAGAACAGGGCTAACCCTAGAAATATTACACCTCACCTTACCTCGGGTTTTGGTCTCCGGTGGTAAGTTTTATTGAAGTGCGGACCTAGCAGGTTTAAAAGGTCCAAAAATTGTCATGCGTAACTGTCCTCAAGCTGGTGTTCCTTAGGTTCTGTGGTCATGCTCTCAGGTCGCCGTGACCACAACTAATTCAGCTTTTTGTCAGATCTTTGAAGAAGAAATATCTTTTCATGACGTGACAATCACTCATACTTCTATCAGCACCTGAGACCATCTTTTTCACGACCAAATCACTCATTCGCTTCTTACTAATTCTTTCATCCCAATCACTAACCCTTTTCGTATATCTTCATCACACTCCACGAATGCTAGTGCTTTGGATCCATGAAATTTTATTCCTGGTCTTCTGACAAAACATCGTAAAGGCGTTTAGGCGGACCTTATGGTGTTGTAGCTTAGTGAAAAACTCCACAATCGGCTCAGAAATGGTCTGAAAAGATCATATTTTCATCAGCGATCGTCGGAGAGGCTCGGTACAAGACTTTTTCATTCTGGAGTACATGTTAAGACTCGGATCATGCCACGGTTCGAGCATTTATTTGTCCCTTATACCCCAAATTAATAACGAAAATGTTAAAAATACATTTCAGAAGCAACTGTAGGAATTAGTCGACCATGAATATAATATTCATCCCGAGGTAACTTACCATGGTATCGAAAAGCCGTGAAAGCATCAATGGCATCTACTCATAAATTAAACCAAACGGTTAAGTAAAATCAGTGGATTTCATCGTGATCTACAGAACTGAAAGATGCTTGGGAACTCATCCCATCTGGCTCTTAACATGAGGAGCGGATGCAGCCTAAACATGGGCTCATAAAAATTTTACTTAATAATCGTAGGGAGTGGTAAGTTAAGAATTGAGAAATGGTGAAGACAATGATGATTAGTAACAGTAAACAACTGATCAGTCTGACCAAGGAAACGGTTATTGAAATTCGATTGTTAGTGAAAGTATCTCAGTTATCCGCTCTCTCTAAGCAACCTTAATGGCAAAATGATGTAAGTCCCCTAACTCTTGGCGAAATTGAAAAGTCTATAAGTAATCTAAAGCGAGGTAGAGCAGACTCTGGAACATAAACATACTTTTGATATCCGATAGTAGTTGTATTCTTTATCCTTAGAGCACCATTCGACTCATGAGGTTATGTGGCAGTCAGTCACTGGAAGACGTACCAGCGAAGTACATTAACGTTGTACATGCCCTCTACTCGAACACTACTAGTCGAGTAAGAGCTTATGGCAAACTGTAGTCGGAATTAGTTATTTCAAGTGTTCGTTAGAGTTCTTCACTTTGTCCATTTTTATTTAACTTGATCATAGAAATGCTATGAGAGATAACACTTTCGTCGTCTGACTCATCAAAGATTGATCATCTACCAAAAGATTCACTTGTTGACTTAGATGATATAGTTCTGTTTGTTGAAGACGCTGACAAAATCCAGTCTCTTGATTAACTTAAGCAACAAAGCAAGCATGTTTTTGATGCATTTGTCTCCCTCGAAATTTAAAATGTTACTTCAGAGTTGACTTACGTCAGTGCCTGAATTAGTGACAAGGAATGAAGTAGTTGAACTCACCGACTGCCTCACTTATCTTAAGATTCTCATCAGTCCTGAAGGTCTGGCGTTTGATGAAATCTCCGCATGGATTCAGAAAGCTCGACTGGCTTTTACCAACTTACTTACGGGGTATATCAGATATCAGTCTACCAACCAAAGGAAGAGATTGTTGTGCAGAAGTCCGTTCTACTCCATGGGTGTGGAACATGGTCATCAAGAATGGACGATTTTCGGGGATTCTTCGAAGTAGTGCTCATGTGTTTTGGGACCACGGAGTTGGTAATCCCCAAGTTAAGAAAATGGTACTAAGTATGGCAAATCAATTGATGAGGTAGTAAATCTTCATCGACAAAGGTGGTTGGGAAATTTATTACGTATGCCCAACCACCGCGTACCTCGAGGAACGGTGTTATTTGGTTTAGACGTAGAGTGGAAGAAAGCTAGGATTCCGAATCAAAGCATAACATCAGTCGAGAAAATCACTGACAATCGGAATAACCCATGATAAGTTGTGTCGACTACATGGCTTAGGTCTACATGGTTACTATTTGGAATTTTTATCGTGCATATTTCGCTCACTGGTACATCCCATATGTTTAGTTCGCCTATATATATTGTTGAATAGAAAGTCTCCCCAAAACTGCTTCCACGAGTTACTGTTGAGAAGTTATCATCTGCTGCTGTAATGGTGACTGCAATTTTTCCGAAGAGAGTGCCATTTTCACTGCTAGCATTATTGTTTTTGCTATGTCAATTGTGATGACTTGTGCCGCTGAAAAAATTGCCAATCAGAATACTGACTTATATGACCTAGTTTCCGTGTTAAAACATTGATATCTCAACCGTACTATCAGTCTTGCGTCAACTCTGAATCCTCATTGGTCCTCAATATTGTAGTTTCTCACCTAGCCCTACCCGTTGAAACCAGAGAACAATATTCGCTTCTACTATATGGATAATCCACATAGTTTATATACAGGCAGACTAGACCTCATAACACCTCGAAACGAAAAATGACAGTTATACCAGATCAAGCCAAAAGTGGCTGTGAATATGAGAGACGATAACTAATAGATCGTGAATAAGCTTAAAACAATAAATCATATAATTGTACCTAATAGGTCAAATGAAGACATATGGTAAAAAAATGTAGATGTATACAATCTAGTTACCTTCAAAGAATATATATATACAAAAGTCCATAAACAATTCCCGGATGCAACCATTCATTTAATCTTTTACGGATACAACTATTATCGCCCATACTTTTTCTATCTCTACTACTCTGGGATTTTACGTGACCATGTCATCTCTCTTTGCTAATGGGGTTATCAGACAGAAGCTCATTAATGACATTAGGTGCGTGATAAATCTTCTCAACAAGGGAAAAAACATCGATAGGTCCTGGGTTCAAATCTCGCGAGGCGGGACCAGGGATGCGCACTACTGAGTCCCACAATAGGACGAAAAGGCTGTTCAGTGCTTTCACGTTTTCCATGATAGTCTAACTTTAAGTGACTGGTAGATCGAAATATGTATAAAGTGTATGAGCTGAAAATGCATAAAAATCCACAAAACACTGGTTGTATTGTTTTATAGAATGAACAGAAATATGTGGCCGTATGATTAGTAGATTTTGGTAAATTGAGTAAATTATTTAGTCGAATTTTATATAGTTGTCTTAAGACGATATTATGACTTCTCGTTCTTTGGACTCATACGATTTCTAATGATGACATTGATTCAATTTATATCTCTGTTTTTAAGTTGAAATCTAACACATTTGTCTTATTGTAGTGAGCGAGAACACCAGCGGGGACAACCAAATGTATTTGAACACAAAATTACAGAACTTCTTAGTAAAATCTGTGAACCATACAGT